CTCAGATCCTTTAAAAAGCACAACAGAAGTATAAAATCCCACAAAATGGCCAAAATACTACCTGTGGAGTTAGAACTGAGACAGACTCATATTGTAACCTCAGAAGTGTCAGCTGAGACACCAACTAGTTTATTTAATAAAATACTGGGAGCTACAAGAGATACCCGTCAGCCTCCTAGCAGACATAGCTATGGTATCAAAATCCTACATCTCCATGTTATCCAAGTTATCACATTCACAAGATTTTCAGATTGACCACTGATGGCTGACATTACGGTCAAAGTCACTGAAATTCAAACTTGTCCAAGATTAGTATTAGATACACCGATGGTATCAATTTGAAGTTCCTATGATTGCATTCACATATTTAGGGATCTATATATATACAATAATACACATACAATAATACAATACTAGAGTATACTATATCATACTATGCTACATATAGGGAGACTACACTAGATTAGCTTTTCCCAACCACTGTGCCGTGAGAAATGATCAGGTGTGCTGTGGAAGACTGGCTCCACCTGATTAGTACTCTAAGCGATCAGCGTGAGTAACTAGAAGAACAATTACATTCTCTTCCACTAGAGGCCAGTACAACTACTTGATCTAATTAAATAGGTTGCCAACTGCCAGTAAAACAGAAGAAGACAAAGAAGAAATTGCATAACAGTCATACTGTGAGACAATGCAGCGTGTATAGCAATAGCATGAGCGGTGGTCAGAAGAAAGCAAAAAAGGTACACTCGGGACAAACTGAACCAATTCTATGCTTGAACCAAACCTATGCTTGAACCAAACCTATGCTTGAACCAAACCTATGCTTGGTGCGTGAGGAAAAATGATCAACATGCTTTTTGTGCCATTTTCGTTTGTTGGTATAACTATACTTGAGTGATTTTTTCAAACTTAGACCAGTGCGTTTCAGCCATGTGTTTTATAGCTAAACTGACAGCCAGTAATAGTAAGAAGCATTTACCAAGAAGCAGAGCCTCTTTTTCTGAAGTGATGACTCCTCTTGTGATAAGCTCGGTCCTCCGGTCTCTGCTGTGGTACAGAGAAGGAACACACCCGTTGATCCCCTGTGAAAACACATGTGTATGACAAAAGAGCCAAAACATAAGGGTACAAATACACTTTAACTACCAATTACTACATGAAGCTGATAACAGAGGGCTGGGAAACACCCGGAAATGAGTTAGCATTTTGCATTTGTGTTGTGTCCAGAACTGAATGTGTTTTGTTGAATAGTTTTTGGCGCGGTATTAACAATTACGCATTTGCAAGGGGCAAACTGAGAGAACAGAAGCTGCTGGGTGGCCCAACGTTTTCCCATATGCCTTTATGCTTTCAAAAAATATCTAAATCATTTATCCTAAATCAGTTCATATATTCTACATTAATCCAAAAAGCACGAGGAACAATGCCACCGGCTTTCTGTTGAAACATTTGTTGGATCTCATTGAAATCAGCACTATATATTTGCGTGACACGGGTGCTGCATGCACTTCAACACACAAAGAGCACACAAAACCCAAGCAAAACCTCATCATTTAATAAAAGGCATCACAGTGTTGCACTCAGGAAGGCCAGATTTTCAGATAACAGTACAGTGAATGCAGATCGACTCAGAGTAGCATGATACAAATGTCCGTGTCCTCCTGACTTCAATCAGTGTGCACTTCAGCAGCTTTGAGGCTAATAGTCCATCTCCCATGACATGTGCAGTATACAGACACTGTGTGTAAATGTGTACATACTGGGTCACTGAGAAGCAACAAAGTGCTGTGAGAGACAGCTGAGGACCAAAATAACAGACATGCTCTTCCTGTAACCTCTCCTGATTTCACTCGTGTTTCACTCTCATCAACTGTTTCCTTTGTTTGGGTCTTTAAAAAATTCAAGTTTTTTAAAAAAGTGTGCTGATATTGTGTGAATCACAAACACAAACATCAAATCTCTACTTTTCAAACTCTTGAACGGGGCCATGTTTGGCTTGAAAACCTGACGAAAATGTTGTTTTTAAAAAACAAAAAAACAAAATCTTTTCTGCCAGTTGACTTCAGCTCAGGCTTCAATTTTTACCTTTTCATGGAGCTCGCCGTTGGTCCCTTCCACAGTCTCCCCATTACTGCTCAGCAGCTGCAGAGACACACAGAGAGAAAACAGAAAGTGTTTGATGACTCGCAGTGAAACTCAGAGTTTGAAGAAAAAACATTTGTAACAAAGAGTCTGTTTTTTCTGCTCTTTTATAGATGGGTCTGTTAGAAGGACAGGCTGAAAATGTGCAGACTGTGAGACCATTGTATGGATACTCTGAAGAAACACTGTGCTGATAGCTGTTTGAGAATTATAAATGTATTTATCGTGCACAAATAGACACATGGCAAACTGGTCATTAGGCGTTATGGAAGGCTTTACAGAGAGCTGCCACAGAGACTTGGCCGATGTTTCCTCTCATCTAACTCCCTCCTCTTCCCACGTTCTTCTAACTTTATCATCCAGAAAGTAACCCACTCAGCAGTGGACTGTTAAATGGGCTAGATAAGTACAAAAGCTAAAAAAAAAAACCTCAGAGAAAATAAGTAAAAATTTTAAAAGGGGGCATTTAAATTGACCGTAATAAGTAGCGACAGATGAAAAACAGCGATATGGAGCAGACTGTGGTCCCCAGTTTCCAGCAAAGACCAGTAAAAGAAGTTGAAGGTAGCGATTTACACCCACAATCATCTGTTATTAATACAGTCCTGGATTTGAAACCTTTTGTTTTCTAAGTATAAAATATGACTAAAGACACTTCTACATCCCCATCGCCATCGTATCTGCCTCCTCCAAACACGCAACATAACCTACAGCTGCTTCGACTCTGCGCTGCCAGTTATCCATCACAGAGCACTCATCAGCAGAGCCCGGCAACCTTCTTCTCATTACTGCAGGCAAAACCGCACAATGACGGCGTGAGCTCTCTTACCTTCAGCCAGCTGTTTTTACTCAACAGTTTCTGGGCAAAAGTCAGTCATGTTTTGAAGATTTGACGCTCTAAAAGGGACACAACTCATTTGCATGGGAAAAGCATGTGAGGATAATGTGGGCTAGGTGATTAATTTGCGGTTTGTGTGAGTCCAGCATAATGTCTGTGCAAGAGATATGCAGTGTAAACAAAGTATCTCCCAAAAACTGCATTAACCATGCAGCTGCCACTGTTTCAGACTCTTCCTGCTCCTCATGTCAACTCTAAAGAGGTTTGGGCAATCCAGGCTGTCACTGCAAGGCAAGTTCCTCAGGTATGAAGCACCTGAAGCACCTACTTCATTTGGATTGTCTCAAAGACTTCCCCCACAAAAGCTCCTGTGGTATACAGGTGCGAGCTGAAGTACAGATGAGCCTGGCAGCTGATTTACGTGCTGTTACCTCCGACCGGGCTTGTTCACCTCTGCCTACAGACTGGATTCATCTATGTGAAGCGTCTGTAAAACTTGGCAGTGAAATCACTACATAAAAAGTGTGTCTCCTCCTCCCCCAGGCCTCCTCTGTTCCCCCTGACAGCCCTTTTATTCCTGCAGAATGTATGCATCTATGAAGTCTTAGGTCAGCCTGCAGTAATGTTGCTGTGGGATGTGGCAAAGAACCAGCAGATAGCCAAAATAAAATTTGTTTGTCTATACATACACTGCTCAAAAAATTTAAAGAAACACAGGTCAGGTGAGTGTGGGGGTCAGTCAAGCCAACAGTCAGAAAAGATGAGGCGAGAACATGAAAGCAGCTGATTCGATGCCACCACAGATCCGATTGAGTTTCTTTGGTCATTCATAGTTCATCCTTCTTGTGAGTACCAAATAAACATTTTTGTGTTTCTGGAGATGTTTCAAATAAGTTGAAGCAGCCACAACAATCTGGTATTACTGGCTCAGCCTTACACCTCCCCATATGTCAGACTGTTGACCTTGACATATACTGTTGCTATGAGATGAGAGTGAAAGTGAAACTGACTGAAGTCCAGTTCTCAAAACCTCTAGACGTTACACTTGTAATGCTGTGGTTTCACATATATGTCCAAACAGAACTGCTGTGAGAGGGAATTATTGTGAAGGGGTGAGCGAGGCAGTGGTGTGAAGGTGCACCTGCCCCACTAAAGGTGAAGCATCATTAACTCCAGCGTTGTGTGCTCTGTGTAACATTCAGGAGTCCCACGGTTCAGTTCTTCGGTGTTTGTTGTGAGCTGTCAATGCTTAGCTAGCAGATAACAGTTAGTAAGTACACTAAAGTGAAAGGCCTTTAGCAAAGGAATAAATACTGTAACGTTACTTTCGCTGTAAATAAATAAATAAATAGATATTTATAATTTCTAATAGGTAATACGCAGAGAGTATTTTGCAGTTTCTAACACTTGGTCCGCAGGTATTTATAAACCACACACATGCCATCTTGGCCAGTCACCTCTCAGCTTGAGACCGCAGAATAACATCCTGGCGGGGCTGTTGCCATAGCAGCACTCATGTCCTTCCAACCCCCTTCATCCCCTCCATGAATTTGAGCGTCTGTGTGTGTTGCAGCATGCTTTTTCAGTATACCGCACATGAAAGAGCCACAACAGAGAGACTGGAAAATGCACTTCATGAGAACATGAAGACTGAACGCTACAGCGGTGTTCTTGCTGTATTACTGCTGTGTTCTGTGTGAAATACTTGATTTAGAAAAGTGTGAAGCAGTCAAAGGACTTAATGGCATTAAGCCTGAAAAAGACAAACATGTCTGGTGATTGCTATATAGACACAGGGCTGACTATAAGGATTCCAAACAAAAGGAATCCAGTCAAGCGTAACAGAGTTGTTCATTATCTCTTTATGTCCCTGGAATGTCTTACTACTTTATTTTCTAAAAATTACTTTAACTGCAGCCCTGATTAAGATAAGGAGAAGAGGGAGGATGGATGAATGGATGGATGGATGGATGGATGGATGGATGGATGACTACTTTAAATTTGGTTGCCAGTAATGGAGGGTGAATACTAATTGGGGCACACCTTGTCTCTGAGGCTGAGTACCTCCCCCTCCAGGTAGCGGTGCTCCTCTCTTGCCTGCTCCAGCTCAGTTTCCTTGCTCGATAGCTTCTCTTGCAGGTTCAGAAGTTGCTGGAAGACAAGCACAGATACACATTTAACTTAACAATATCAATTTAATAATCACAGGTACCTCCCAGGTACCTCTAAATAACAAGATTTGACACCGCAATATATATTGGGGCTGATATATATTGCGGTGTCAAATCTTGTTATTTAGAGGTACCGGGGAAGTCATCAAATGTCATCTTTATGGGAGAAAAAGTTAATGGGAAACTTTAAGTTCAAGGGGTCTGAGTGCCTACAAAGCACCTGGCTCTCACATTTCCAACTGAGTTGCAGCTGCGCAGCTCAAAATGCAGTGGTCAAACATAAGGCCCAGGGGCCAGAATCACCCTGTTAAAGAACAGACGCTGCTGGAAAATGTAATGGAAACCATCAATTTTGGACTTTTAAATATTTAAAAAAAAAAAAAAAAGTGATTATTGAATTTTCTGTTGCATAATTACAGTGCAGTCTGGCCAATGAGATACCAGAGCGCTTTCTGTAGCTTTTTACATTTATGTCTTACAGTTTAAGCCCAAAGCTGACAGACGCCTTTCATTTACCACAGCAGGATCTCTTTATCGTGTAGAAATATTGAGACATACTGTTGAAATTGCACTGCTTGTTTTTACATCAATATATCTCAGGGATAAAAATGTGCAGTTAAAGTTCTTTACACTGACAGAGGGGGGAGTTTTACTGGTCAAAGTTCGCTTTATGTGGCCCCCAGTGAAAAATGAATTGACATCCCTGCTATGGAGTAAATTTCTGGCTTCTGTGAGGCGACTGCTGTTGTTATTTGGCGCCATGTAAATAAACCTGAAAACTAAAACTGGCATCAGGACATATTTAGATATGCAGTCTTACTGCAGGAGAAACTGTTTTGTAACTTTGCTGTTCACAGCTCTGCATTTCCAGGATGACTTCAGAGAGTTTCAGGTTAACATTAGCTTGTTTTTCAGTTGCTGAAGGTTTGCTGGTTAAAGTCATTAATTTGAACATGGAGGAAAAAGGAAATGATGTTTACTTCTACTAAATAAAAGAAAGCCAAGATGCCAAGAAGCTGTAGGACGTCTTGCTTCATGTCTTAGAAGATGAGAAAACAGAACTTTGACTTGAGGCTGCAGCTGTCAGTGAGTGCTGTGAGAGCTTTTTATCTGCCTGCTCCCTTTACCTACACTCAACACTTTGTCATCTTATTATTCTCCTAGTGCTGAAGCCACTTTTATTCTGATTTTAGTCTTTTTATCACAATAAGATGTTTATTATTTAAATGAACTGACTGTTTCATTCATCGTGTGCGCGTTCATATTTTTGGCATGATGCGATGTCATCTTAACGCTGTGATGAAGTATATGAAGCAAAGCACTGATTTTGTTTGTCACAGCTGATCATCTGCACTGAGGGGGAATAAAAAAACAACGCCGCATGACAAATGAGAAGCGATAGCAGTGCGAGTTTCCCCTCACACTACTAAGAAGTCAAGTAAGCAGCACGTTTACAATGAGCAAGCAGGGCAGTGTGTGGGTGTGTGTCTATATGATGGTGGTTGTCTCCAATGTGCCTCATTTTATCAGCGCTGTCAGTTTAGATTGAGAAAGACAGGAAGTCAAGTTAAATCAGGCTAACTCGTGGCAAACGAGCTGCGTGCTCTGACACAGCTCACTGTGCTCCATGAAAAAAGTAGAGTGAGGAATAGTGGGAGAACTCAGCAGAGGAAAACACTGTTTGGTTGTTGGTTTTTCTGTGTTTGCTTGTGTATGCTACGCTTCCTGCTCTTTTCTGATCAAAACAAAAAAAATGCTTTCTTGCAAACACTAAAAAGACTTGAGCTCATGGGTTTCATTATTCAAGTCATTTTTAAAGACACATTCCTCAGATTTTACAAAAGTAGCTGGTCTGTATCAGCTGAATTCTGGAAAAGAAGAAAAAAAAAAGATGTGCCCACTTTTTTCTCCCAGTGGCCCAAATCCTCTTCTGTAGCTGCTCCTTTAAAGGTCACAACAGTGGTTGATCCGCATCCATCTCACCCTATCCTGAGCATCCTCGTTTGTCACCCTCCACCAGCTCCATCTTCAGCATCCTTTGGCCAGAATATCTAGCACCCCTCCTCTGCTCATGTCCAAACCATCTCAGCCTTGAGTCCCTGACTTTGTTTCCATACTTAAGCTGTCCTTCTGATGTACTCACTTCTAATCCTGTCCCACAATGAAAATCTTAACATTTTTAATTCTGCGTCCTGCATTTTTTAGTCAGTGCCATCATCTCCAGAGCATACATCAGAGGTCCCCAATCCCAGTCCACGAGGGCCGGTGTCCCTGCAGGTTTTAGATGTGTCCTTGATCCATCACAGCTGATTTAAATGGATAAATTACCTTCTCAACATGTCTTGAAGTTCTCCACTTGCCTGGCCATGTGATTCAGGTGTGTTGACCCAGGGTGAGATCTAAAACCTGCAGGGACACCGGCCCTCGTGGACTGGGATTGGGGATCCCTGGCATACATCATAACAGATCTAACTACAATCTGCTAAACCAGGGGTGTTGAACTCCAGGCCTCGAAAGCCGGTATCCTGCAGGTTTTAGATATCAACACACCTGAATCACATGATTAGCTCATTACCAGGCCTCTGGAGAACTTCAAGACATGTTGAGAAGGTAATCTGGCATTTAAATCAGCTGTGATGGATCACAGCTTGGAGTTCGACACCTTTGTACAGCCTCTCTTCTACTCTCCTGTTGTCCGATGCTTTGGATGGTTGACCCCAGGTCAAGCTTCACTACCATCTAGTCCTTGCACTGTTATACCTATCTGTGTTAAGATTCCTCTGAAATCTTAACCCCCCCCCACCCAAAAAAAAAAACAAATTCCTATACCCATTTATTGAATCAATCATTATTTTAGCAAAACCTTATATGATTTATTTACTGTTTTTATAAAACAATAAACATGCTTTCAACGTTGATGCCTAACAGTAATCACAGTTGGCAGAAGTTAAACATGGTTAGAGAGCAGATGTAACTCATAATTGTTTGCACTTGTTGGATAATGATGTGATTGTATGCTGGTTCAGAGTGTACAGCCAGGAAGGGCTGATGTGGATGGAAACAATGTGAGAGGCAGAGGAGGAAGACTGCACATAAAAGGTGTTGGAAGAGAAGGCAAAGGAGGAGGTGGAAGGGGACGAGCAGGAGCAAACATTTCAGATGAAATTTGAGGAACTGAGTCAAGGATTTTTTTTAACTACTTGCAATTTCTTTGGAATTTGAAAGCAATCACACGAGGGAGGTTATCGAGTTAAATGTCAACACTGTTTACAAACTATTTTGATGGAGAAGTTAACGAATGTTAAGTAGTTTTATTAGCTGTAAAGGCTGCTCGTGCGATCTGAACAGTTTGGTTGCGAACACAGAAAAAGCTTTGATGTGCATATTTGCAGCATTTTGGGATTATAGCTTGAAAATTGGGCTTTGAGAAACATGTGGAAAGTTTTCAGCAATGTGTCATAGCAATGATGAAAAACTGTGAGAGAGCCCTAGAGAGACTATTAAATATCCTAAATAGCTTAATAAGACGCTAAAAAACTAGATACAAAGTTAGCCGCAATCATTCACTGTATCTTAAAGGAAGGATTTTAGGGGCTATCCCAGCTGTCATACGCTGTCTTTGGACTCTGGGAGAAAGCCAGAGTACCTGGACAAAATCCAGACAGGCACGGGAAGAGCAGACTCAAACCCGGGACCGCCGCACCACTGTGGTTTCTCCCAAAAGCAGAATTCAAGTAAAATGTCATCTAAAATCCGTATTTGCCAATTATCAAGAGGACCTGTAACCTGTAACTACTCAAATTAAGAAAAGCAGTTTTTGTTAGTAAGAAAATAAATTGTTTATCTGCCTAACAAATAGTTTCCTTCTTTTTTCTTAAAAAATACAAATAGAGAGCATCTGCCCCAGAGGCCTGTTTTAGAAGGTTGCCGTGGAACATTTAATGAAGAATCTGCAGCAGCAGCAGCGAGAGTAACACAAACTGTTCTCTTCAGTTCTGCTGCATCAAAATTCATTGTAGAGAAATTTTTAGAACAGGTTCAGCAGCACCAGTGTTCATTTCTTCATTATTATAGGCCATTATTCATTCACTAATTTACAGTATTGATTAAGCAGAAGTGAAATTGGGAATCACTCTGACCTGGTGACGGTAACAAGAAACCATTATGGCCAACACTGTTTACTTTGTCCTCGTGGTTGTGGAGGTCTTAATGATTGAACACGGGGATGCTCCTCTGTTTGTTTTTATAAACAGCCTAAGGTTTAAGCAGCGAATACATTTTAATGTTTTCAATTTAGAGCAAACGTCTTCCAATAGAAGGCATAAAAAAGATATTTAAAAGCAAAACTGAACAGCCATAAATGGCAGATTACATATTATTGCAATAATTTTCATGAAAGGTGTGACTCAAAGTTATGTAAAGTTTGACTATCAGCAGAGATCAGAGGGATTTCCTAAGCTAAAAGTACGATTAAAAGGATTATAGTCACTTCTGAGAACCATGAAAATGCGATGTGCAGGCAGACAAACAAACCTGCTGCATGCTGTGCATGCTCTGCTGCAGCAGCTGGATCTGAGCCTCTGGGCTGTGAGGGTGTGTGTGCGAGTGATCGTCTTCTGGGCGGCTGGCTCTGCTCTGCTCCTTCCTCAGGAGCTCCACCTCGTTCCTGTAGGCGTCCAGCTGCCAGCGCAGGGAGTCGTTCTCCTCCTTCAGAGAGGCCTGAGTCTGATCACACACTCCTGCGGGAGGAGAGAGGGAAGAAAGGCGGGATCCGGAAAGGTGAGGGAGGAAAGGGAGGAGATGAGAGTAGGAAAATAAGAAACAAGTGGATGAGAAAGACAAAAAGGAGAGAGAAAGAAACAATGGAAAGGGAAGAGAGAGGCCTTGTGTTGTAAAAAATGAACATGAGCATCTCATTCAGGGTCCACATCAGTGATGTCCCCACAACTTTATCCTGCTTTTGTTTGTTTTTATAATTGAAGGGTTATATGAACAGCAGATTTAATGCTGCACAGGCTGCAAAGTCTCTTGTCAGAAATTTCTTTTTAAAGGCTGATTTAAATAAAAACTGCCTTTACACGTGTTCGAGTAAACCCAGCTTGAGCTATTCTGTTTGCTGCACAGGATTTTGTGACTTTTTATTAGTTAAACTGCCACACAAATAAACCAGCTTGTCTAAATCACATAAACTCAAAGATCCTGAGGAGCTCTTGTGAGCAGAGCACCAAATCAGGGGACCCGTGAAAAAAAAGTGTTTCTAGAATCTGGACGTCTCAAAGACAGAATTAATCTCAGAAAAAAACAATTTTACTTTCAGTGTTCACACTTTTGCATGTGGCTGAGAAAAAGCAAACACAAACAGGAGAGACAGAGAATCAGGGAAAAAAATTGGCACGTTTCCATCATCCATCATCATCTCTAGCCAGAGGCCTCAAATTCACACCTTTAGTCATTTAATGTGTGATTTGAAAGGTGATATAATTACCATTTTCCTCAGTGCGCATCTTCTTGCAAGGACTTTCATCCGACTCGTCATCCGACATCTCCATCTCCTCTTCTCGTCTGATGCCCATGATCTCTTCGCTGTGGGCGTTCCTCAGCTCCTAAAACATTACAGCCAGCAGAGACACAGAGCAACAGCGGTCCTCAGCTCACTCGTGAAGAAATGGGATGTCCTGTTAGCAATTACATCACACGCATGCTGTTACAAGTGTCGTATTTGTAACAAGTTGGGGCAGAAAGGTTGTGTTTGAGCAACCTTTGTGTTTGCGGTCTAAAATGTTTCCAAACATTCTTAGAAGTTATCTGTGTCAACTCAATGCATTCTTCTCTGTTCCATGGTTACAGTTCTATGCATTTCACCCACAGATGTACAAACAGATTGCTTTGATGCTAAAGAAAACTTTAAAAAATGACTTTACAACAAACTCTCAGCCACCTCTGAAGTTATAAGAAGCTTCTTTTATGTACTGAAACACTTCCAAACTTTGAGCTGGTGTAGTTTGATGCACTTCCTTTGGGCTTTAAATTCACAATAAAACCAGGATAAAAAAAAACAAAACAACCCAATAAAGACATACTCTAATAAATAAGAGTGTGTGTGCTTTTCCTATTTTAAGTGTGAGGCTATGTCTAGTATTCTCGATGTGTAGCTCACTCAGTCACTCATGTATCCTGTTGTTTTATTGGTTCTAAGCCTCTGAGTTTAACATGCTTTTTACAGCACAGAACAGCCAGTGTCAATTATACCACTTTGTTTTATATTATTTTATACTTTAATTATTACAACAGTATGTTGTTGTTAACCGGCAATAATACATATGAATGTCATTAAATAACAACTGTGGGTGAATTTAATCTGTGGCTCTCTTCCCCCGCATGTCTTTGTCCTGTCCTCCTCCCCTCACCCCCAACCAGGCAGATGGTTGCCCCTCCCCCTCTAGCAGATCCAGGGTCTGCTGGAGGGGGAGGGGAGGCCATCTATCCTGTTTCCTCCTTAAAAGGGAGTTTCTCCTTCCCACTGTCGCCAAAACGCTTGCTCAAAGGGGGTCATATGGTTGTTGGGGTTTCCTTCTCTGTATTATTGTATTGTCTTTACTATATTAAGTGCCTTGAATTGATTTGGATTGAATTGAACTGAATTTTTTACCACAAAGCGTCCATTCAGATATCGGAAAGGGTTAAAGTTGGATTTTGGCTGCGCTGATGCGTGGCACCGTGGTGGCTACATCCAGTTTATGGTGGCAACTCAGCCGTCCCATTGTTGCAATAAAAACATTTTGCGGCCTACCTCCCAGCTCCATTGTCATCATTCCCATTGCTTTCATGAACTAATCATTCATCAAGCGAAGCGCATACGCATGAGATGTAATAGACTGAGAGCCTTTTGCCTGCGTGTCGTATTATCTTTCACTTCTGCAGAAGCTGCCTGTGAATCAGATCTCTGCCATTTTCGCCCATATTCATTAGCTTTTCTTTTGTGGGCTGTGATTTCACAGACCATTTCCTAACAGAATAATATCCATCTCCACTGAGGAAAAATGTGCAGCCTGCTTCCAAACAGTTAGCAGAGACACTCCTGTTGTTGTAGAAATATGGATTCATATAGACTTACCATGAACGGTAGCCATTAAAGGAAGATCTCACAAGGGGACTGAATCTTACTATAGATGAATAAGAGCCTGTGGAATTCAATACCTCTTACCCAAAATATTAACTGTGGTGACACCAATGCCTCAGTCAAGACCCTTGTGTGTCATACAGTATTCGCTTTGGCTACCCAAAATATAAAATGCCAAAATAAAGACAACTGAAAGAATACAAACATGCTAAGAGGATGCCTTTCATTATTCGCTTTTCAACCTGGACCAAATCACTGCATCCATCCATCCATCCATCCATCCATCTGCCTATTCATCCATCCATCCATCCATCCATCTTCCGTTTACCAAGTTCAGGGTTGCAGGGGACTGGAGCCTAACCTAGCTCTCACAGGGTGAGACTGGTTCAATTAGTGTTGTTTAATAAAGACAAGATGATGTAAATAAAATATCTCTAGTTCACGCTCAAATGAAAAGACAAAACAAACAAACAAAAAAGTATAATAGAAGTATTATTTTTTTCTGCTTTATGTATTAATGCCAGCAAAGTTTCCATATGACTGCACAAGGATCTGAAGTGTTCATCAAACCAGTGGAGTGAAAGCTTCCGACAGTGAAGTGCTTTTTATCCTTTAGGTCATTTATTGGACTTTGCTTTGTTTTCAAGCAAAAAATTTTCCACGTCCCTCAGCTCCTTTTGGTGTTAGTCTTAGGTTTTATTTTAGGTCTCAAAAATAAAATATTGGCAAATGCACTGGCACTTACATGGCACCTGTCTATTCAATTTAAGTACTACAATTCACCCACTCACACACATTCATACAGGGCTTTTATCTCTATCTAAGCACATGTGCATAACATTCACACACGCTCACTTGCTGATGGATGCATCAGGGGAAACTCAGGGTTCAATATCTTGCACAGGGATACTTTGACAGATGGACAAGAGGAGCCAGGGATCCACCCACCAACCTTCTGATAGGTAGACGACCCACTCTAACACCTGAATGTGCAATCTCAAAGCTTGGAAATGCTTAGAAATCATCCTTTGAAATTGTGTGCTGGAGCAAAAACACAAAAACTAACAAAACACTTACTCCCTTTGTCCCTTTGTGATTTGAAATAAAATACACAAATTCAAGTACATTTCACTTTTATCCTTTCTTCGATCACTTTCCATTTCTGCATTCTAAGTTGGTGTATTCAACCCCCTCACCCCCACAGAACAACAAACCCACAACCTCCACGTGCGCCAACAGGCTGCTCCACGTCTGAATCCTCTGTGGTGCTGCCGCGTGAACGGGTCTTCCCTCTTTCACGTGCAGCATTCTCGTCTTCGTACTTGTTTTCTAGATTTGACTTGGGATAAATAATTGATTTGAGACTTAACCCTGGAAAGCAGTGTTGCCATAGCAGCGTCTCACACTTTCGAGGAGGCATCAGATCTTTGCTTTACATTGGGGCTGCAGGGATAAAGGGAGGCCCGGGCGATCAGAGGCTGCTGTCTGCCCGTCTGTCTGTCTGTGAGGGCGAAGCATCCAGCAAAACAACAACCCAGACACTGAATACAACAAATCCTACGGGACTGTGTGTCAATCCCCAGCTCTCTCCTGGGGACTCAAAAGTGACAGCAGAGAAGAAAGCAGTGAGCCAGGGTGGGAGGAGAAAACAGAAAAAAACAAACAAAGGTATACCAACCTCACACTGCTTGCGCCAAATGTCTATGTTCTTGCGCTGTGCTTTTGAGAAATGGTCCCATGCCTTTTGCCGGGTGGCAGCGGTGAAAACGGCGGTGATCTGCTCGACTTTGGGGTGAACGGGGAGGAGGAAGAGGAAGAGGAGGGAGGGTCAAGACAAAACAAGCCGTTTATGTAGCGTTGTAGCACTGACTGAGGCTCGTACAGCAGACAGAGGAGAGACCGTGGACATGCACCGACCACAAGCGGCAGGCCACGAAGGTCTTTCGTGTTAAAGGAACAGTTTATTCCAAAACTGAAGTCTGTGACATCATTTGCTCAAGTCAACCTCCAGGAAGGTTTACACTCTATTTGTCTTTATCAAATGATATTTTTTTTTGCCTCTTGGTTCTTTCATATCAGCCCAAACAGCTTCCTCACTGCAATCAAGGGCTCAGATGAAATGCTACCATATTTCAGAAAGCAATAAGAAAAACTAATCAAAATCAACCACAATTGCCTTCATGCAAAATCTCAAATATTACTTTACTGGATTCCAATTTATACTTTTGAACTCCTGACTCAGTGAGCAGATGATGACAGGACGACTGTACTTGGAGTAAAGTGCTCCTTTAAAGAAAGACTTTTATCTGAAGAATAAATGTATAAGCATAAGAATAAATTTCAAAATAAATAAAAAAAAACCCATTCAAGTCTTATTATTACATGACTTTGGAGTAAATTAACAGGGAGTTATGCTTAAAGATGAAGACTGAATAAAAATCTTCTTTGCCATGAGAAAGATGAAAAACAAAATGCTCTTAATGCACTGAATTTTTATCCTCCACCTTCATGTAAGAGATTGTTGGAAACAAGAACTCGGGCATGCTAATTAAACTAAAGTGAATAACACTGATTATTTCAGTACAGTGTTCTGCTGTTACCTTGAAACATAACGTCAGCTACTGTTGCGGACCGACCAGTCCAACCACAGCAATTGCTCTCCCAAATGTCAGCTGCCTTTCCCGGCAGGACAATGTGCCAAGGAAGGAATACTTTGAGATTTTCACAACCTCGATTGGGAGAAATTGCTCCAGATTCACTGGAGCTAGCCTGCTTCATGGAGGCCCTTCTCTAAAACAAGCAGAACACAAAGGTTCAGCTGCTGTAATCCTGTGCGAGCCGCAGCGGGATACCCCCTGAGGTTCTCTATCACAGCCCAGATGAGTCTGAGCTGTTTTGGTGATGTGATGGGGATGTAGCGTTAGGCAGGTGGCTTTAATCTTCTATCCTGGGCCAAGCAGCATGAGTCTTGTACAGCTTTTCAAATAAACCTCTTTTTTTTTTTTTTTTTTTTTTTTAAAAAAAGGAAAAATCTGGAGTGCAGTTGAGCTTTATGAAAAAGTGTTTTTTTTTAAAGATCCTACTCAGTGAACAACAGCGCTCAGTATAAAGACTGCAAACCACACGAACAATCCAAGGCACTCCGAGGCTTGCGATATAATGGTTAAATATTAACCCTCTCAAGGCAGGCGTTGCAGATTTGCAACAGTTAAAAACTAACAACCTGATTAACCCACATACATATTTTATGAGTTTTTTTTACTCAGAAGTACCACTGCAGGTCTTGGTTGTGCATTAGAAACAAAAAGTTTAATTTGAGCCTGAGAGGGTTAAACGGTTCTCATCATCATACCTCAAGTCTCAGAGTGCCTTTGCTTTTTTTTTTACCTATTGTTTGCAAACATGTTTTTACATGAGTGATTTCAAAAGCTTGTCTTAGTCTGACGGAACAGCCTGGAATTGCTGTTAAGGGTAATCACATAGAGATCTAAATCCAAGGCAACTGGGTGGATGCAAAACACAAGACCAGATGGAAAATGCATGTGTCTGCTAAAAGGCGTGATCCCTTGCAGCGCCTATCAACACTAGCGTCCTGCAGACTTTGTTTCCCTTTTCAGCTGAAGAAAAGTGTCTGACATGTGGATGCTTTCCACATGATATAAAAAAGCTACCATGCATGTGTCCCACTGGCAACAAACACCGGCTCCTGGCCACATTCCTGGAGCCACTATGGGCCGAAATTACTGTCATGGCTGAGAGAACAAGTTACGATTGTGTTGGATAATTAACCCCAGTTGATGTCTCCGAATCATGTTTCAGTCAACTTGCAGAGCAATTAGCCACAACTGGAGTCTTTGTCATCCAGCTGTAGTGCTGGTCAATAAACATCAAGCAGTGTTTATCTTCTCTGTGCCATTTGATTCATGGGAAGCTATCCATATCTTCACACACGTGCACAAGCTAATATGCAATTTTCAGGGCTGTCTGTAAAGCTGCGGGAGACTCTTAGACTGACAGCTGGAGAATGTTTTGCATGAGTCCTTGTTTCCTTGAATCTCGGAGGTGGTGAGAAAATATGTATTAGCACAGCCTTTACAGGCAGATGCATGTCAAATAGGAAAAGCTAAACCAAAACCATCCTCTAAAAGTTTAAAAGAATTCATCTAAAATGTGTGTCATGTGATGAGCAGGTCTCTCTCCTGGCCAGTGCTCTGTACTTACATCTCATCACCTGCAGCTTCACTTCCCACTGGACTGACAAAGGCAACATTTATCCAGAATGGACTGTGAATTTTAGACTCCATCAGAAATGTAGACATGTCACATGGGATATTACATGTTTAATGTTAAGGAGAAGCTATAATGGAATCAATCTGTGTGCAAGAAATTACTGGATGATTGGGGAGGATTGTCTATAACATTGTAACATCGAATCAGAAGAGACACACTTCCATTCTGCATGAATATGCTGCCTTGCATTTTTTTCTGTTGCTCTGACATTTGATTTGTGGTCAAACATTTCCAGTAACAACATAACTTTACTTTGCCAAACCTGAATGAACCAATGTCAGATTTAGCCTTTTCACATATCACAGAAAAACTACTGACAAAAAGACAAAAACAGTAAAACTGTCCATTTTCTCACTCACCTTATTTACAAATGAACACGAACCGTGAAATGACGCCAAATATGCCTTTTTCTGAACGTAACATCGGATTAAATGTGCATTAAGTGATATTTTTGACCCTTTCAGCTCCTAGTTTTGGTTCTGTGCATACTTCTTGCTGCTCATGTGAAATATATTACCTTTGCACACTTTATTTCACATACTTCTCTCATTGGCGATGTTTAGATTGTATCTGAGTGTCAGAAATCTTAAAAGCATTACATATTAGCAGATGATCAGCCTTAGCTATTATTAAAATAGGTTTCAATTAACACACAAGTTCACTTGGTTAACTGTTTCAGGTTAACTCCTAGGAGATCGGATTCTAGGAATTAGAAGGTGTTATGTATGTTACCTGGTAACAGTGGAGGAGTTAAAGGAGTTAAAAGAGTCAAAGGTTGTGTTATATACATACTTTCCTTGGGAGGTGGTGGAGACCAAAACTGAGATAAAACTAGAGCAAATGTACGACATCAGGTGGACATGGATTCCTTTCCATTTCAGTGGTTGTGTCTGTTGCTGCTGGACACAACAAGTGATTATTGTGTTTTTGTAAATACACTGCATTCTAGTGGTCAAAATTCACCTAATGCAGCTTTAATTGCAGACTTAGCTAAGTGTCAGTGAATGGGTGCTATTTAACCAGTGCTGTTTCAGAGTAGCATTAGCATGCAGTAACAGAGCAGCTGTGGTTATCACTCAGTGTGTGTTGGCATTTTTTTGAAGGCAGCCTGTGAAAAGGTCAGGGCGCACTCATGCTACTGACTCTGAAACCTCTGTGCGACTGACCTAATCACCACTGCACAGCGCGCCGAAGATAATGGAGCTGATGGTGAGACAGATCGGGGAGTGTTGTCATGGAGACTGGGCCGAGATGCTCACAGAGTAAATGACTTGCATCAAGACGGGCTTAGAAATGGATGTGGTGAAAATGGCTTCATGGTCTGCACCACCGTAATCTGCCACTGCACCACACCCTGCAGCAGTGTGAGAGACTGCAATCAGGAGTAAGCTCACACTGACGGCACACGTGGTGACACGAGGTCAAAAGTGGATATCTATTAACTGGTTTTCACCTAAAAAAGTAGTACTGTTCAGTCTCAGGTGCTTAATATACAGCACTTTAGCCAAAGTCTTATGTGTTTAAACATCCTACATGAATCGATTGACTTAACTGATTAAACTGAAGGTGCAGTTGATTCATGGGTGCTATCCAATCATATGATTGTCTCTAGTTCATGGTTCTCTTAAAACTGGTGAAACAGAATGAAACTTGCTACCTGCAGTGTGAAGAGAAAACCACTGGTTGAACTTACCTGTACAGCTTACACTTACAATGGCAAAAACTTCTCACGTGAGACGTCCTTTGTCTGGAAGTTTTTTCAGTACGTCTTTAAGTGTGTAAAATATGAAAGCGTCCTTACACTGATTTAATATAGCCAGCAGGGCATTCTTGAAGGCCTCTTTGGCACGCTCCAACTCCTCTTCATGCTGAGCTTTCTCGCTCATCAGTCGTCTAACGTGGCTGTTGGCCGACTGGATCATAGAGTAGAAGTGATTGGCGGTGCGGCGGTTGACTTCGCCTCTGTCGATCCAGGTGAACAGAATGGCTATGGCCTCACTGAACTTATGATCATCTGTGGGAACAAGTTGAAAAAGGTAAGAAAAAGAGGTATGGCAGTTCTTTTTTTTCCAATACCAACACCAGTGATACTTTTAAAAATGAACTGGACTGTGCTTATAAAGTGCATTTCAAACCGTACTGATTCAAAATGACTATAAGTCACACTTAAACATCGAGTATATTCATACAGTGCTTTATTTTATACACTCTACCTCACATGCTTGGACAATTTGGAATAACAACTTAACCTAACAAGCATTTCTTTGGACTCAGGGAAGAAGCTGAAGTGCCCAAACCAAGGGAAGAACATGGAAACTTCACACAGGACGCCTCCATTTAACCAGGAGATTCAAATCTTTACTTGTGAGGCAACTGTGCTCACCAGTGCACCACTGTGCTGCACAAGTGCAGCTTTCACATGATGACAAAATGTTTGTAAGTAAGTAAAAGAAAGTAAAATTTTATTTATATAGCACCTTTCAAGATAAAAAATCACAAAGTGCTTCACAGAAGCTAAAACCTAAAAATAAAAATCAACCAAAAACAACTTTAAAAAGATGAGTTTTTAGCTGTTTTTTAAAAGCAACCACGGAGTCCACAGATCTCAGGCTCAAAGGGAGAGAGTTCCACAATCTGGGGGCCACAGTTACAAAAGCTTTGTCGCCTTTTGTTTTCAGCCTTGTGTTTTGGACAACCAGCAAGCCCTGGTCACATGACCTCAGGGACCTGCTGGGAATGTATGGATGTAAAAGTTCACTTATATATGTTGGTGCTTGTCCATGCAGAGCCCTGAAAGTCAAGGTCAAAACCTTAAACTGGATTCTGAATTTAACAGGGAGCCAGTGCAGCTGAATCAGCAGGGGTGTGACATGGGAGTACTTGGAGGACTTGGTCAGAAGCTTTGCAGCAGCGTTCTGAACAACTTGCAGATGCTCCAAAGAGGCTTTACATAAACAAGTAAACAAAGAATTACAATAATCCAGACGAGATGAAACAAATGCATGAATGACAATTTCTAATTCGGAGCGCGATACAATGGGACTCAGCTTAACAATGTTTCTCAAGTGATAAAAACAGGAGCGAACCAGAGATTTTACATGGGCATCCAAAGTCAGAGCTGAGTCAATAGTAACACAAGGACTTCAGTCTTCTCCTCATTTAGTTGAAGAAAGTTTCCAGCCATCCAAC